GTGGAACTAGAAGGTGTTATGCTAAGTGAAATAGGTCAGACAGGGAAAGACAAATACCATATAATTTCATGTATTTGTGGAATCTAAAAATAAATAAATAAATGAAAAAACAAAACAGAACCAAAATCATAGATATAAAGAACAAACTGATGATTGCCAGATGAGATGGGGGTTGGAGGGCTGGATGGAAAAGGTAAAAGGATTAAGAAGCACAAATTGGTCATGTGGGTGTAAAGTACAGCTTAGAAAATGTAGTCAATAATATTGTAATAACTATATATGGTGTCTGGTGGCTGCAAGACTTATTGGAGGGATCACCTTGTAAGTTATATAAATGTCTAACCACTATTCTGTACACCTGAAACTAACATAATATTGAATGTAAACTGTAATTTTAAAAAAAAATGTTTTTCTAAAAAAGAAACCATAGGGGTAAATTTTTAGGACCTTGACTTTGGCATGGATTTTTAGATATGACACCAAAAGTAAACAAACAAACTAACAAAAAACCCATAAATTAAACTCCATCATAATTAATAACTTTCCACTTCAAAAGAATTTTTCAAGAAAGTTAAAAAGACAACCTACAGAATGGGAAAAACTATTGCAAATCATACTTTCAAAAAGAAATAAAGGCATATTTTAAATTTTACAGTTCATTTGAACAAAAATGGGTTCAAATCAGGCGATGTCAAACTCCTGACAACAGGAGCTGGGGAAAGGCATAGAGAGAAGTTGCAGAAACAAAGAAAGAAAATTACTTGATTAGCTATCACTTATAGCCTAGTTAGCTCTTTGTTATTAGTTGTCCTTAGGTTTTGATTTCTCAGCCTTGAGGTACTACAAGTTTAGGTTTTGGTTGCTGCCATAAGCCACGAGAGCATTAGAACTACTTCAATCTGATGACCTATACTTGTTTAATTACTAAACACTTATATACCATAAGTCTCAAACAAGACAATATTTAACTCTTACTACTCAGGAGCAAAAAAACAGTATGAGAGAATGTCTGGCTTTCGAATAAATATAGAAGACAAGCACAGGTGATGAGAAATGTTTGCTGCACCTGCAAACCCAGG